GCATCTTTGATGAATAAAAGTATTAATTTCTTAAAAAAAAACAAAAAAACATTACCGACCCCAAACTATCAAAAGGAAGTGTACATTTAAATAAATATAATAAAATAAATTGCTATAAATTCAAATTTGATCCCCCCTTATACTGTTTCTGATGGAAATAAATATTATTCTTCCTAGCAATTATTACTACGTTGTATTTGTACTGTGTTTTACTGTGAATTGAACATTTTGACTCTAATTGGGATAGGGATATTTGTTTGAAATAATGAAATCAATAAGTAAACAAAAGCATAAATGATCCAGATTTGATATGCTGTAATATCACTCATCCCTGTCATCCAGCGCTGTTTTTCTGTCCTGTGTTGTGTGTGATGTGAGGTGCTGATCTGATCTGGAGTCAGTCGTGTGATTCGTGTCATTAGTCTCTCTGTGTGACCATCGGCAAGACCATCAGTCCTGCTGTAATGGCTCTGGCTAAATTTATTCTTAAGGTTGTGTTTTCATTGCTCTCTCTCGCTCTCTCGCTCTCTCTCTCTCTCTCTCTCTCTCTCGCTCTCTTGCTCGCTCTCTCTCTCTCTCTCTCTCTCTCTCCCCCTCCCTTTTGTGCCGGCAGTTACCAGGCAACAGGCTTGAAGTTTTACGCACATGCTCAGTGTGAGAGTGATTGACCGATGTTTTTCACCCATTTTAGAGCAGCGCACACATAATCAGGCTGCTTTCCACATCATTTGTTTCTTCTTGTGTCATTGGAATGCTGTTTATGAACCCAGTGAAATTGGATCAAGAAGGCCATTCAGACAGAGATTAAGACATTAAACAGACTTTATATAAGACAAAAAGATTTGTTTTTACTCACAAAGTAAATGTGAATGGTGTTTGCACGGGCAAAATATCACCACCATAATACTAATATACTATTATAGTTTTGATTAATGTTTTATTTTCTGTTTTTGTTTTAGTTAAAGGCAAAGAATTTTTGTGATTTTGTCATTTTTATTATTTAAAAACTTTGTTTTTTTGTTTTTTTTAAATAAGTCTATATAGTTTTGAATTATTTTTATTTCAGTTTTAGTGTTATTTTAGTACTTTAACTTAAAATGAAAATGAGAAATGTTTTATAGCTGCCACTTCTGAAAACTAGAAAATGTTTACATCAGTCCTGAAATAGTTAAACTGATGCACAGTTCACTTACTGTCTGTTTGCATTTATTTTATTTATTTTTTTATTTTTTTTAACAAATCACTTTGTACCTGAAAGAACTAAAGCAAAATTACTAAAAACATCTAATTCTTTGGAATACAAATAATTACTAATTAAAATTATTTACATTTCTGAAATAATTGAATTTATTTTATTTTTATTTTTTTTACTTTTATTTACATATACTTTTATTTATTTATTGAAAATTAATGATTTAAGACATTGTTCCTGAATAAAAAAAAAAAAAGAATTAAAATCTCTAAACATGGCATGGATATTATGTTGACCGCAATATACAGTACAGCAGACTTTTTGAATACATTTTATTTTTTGTTGACTCTGAAAATCATGAAATGTATATCTGACCTAATAAAGGTAAAAAAAAAAAAAGGTACGTTTGTTATTTAAAAAAAAAAAAGGTAATGAAATAGTTCTGCAAATTTAAAACCATATGGTAGAGCTTTGTCTTCTAGATACAAATATAAATAAAAAAAAGCTTGAGGTTATTTTTAGATGTCTATTAATAAGAATTGAAGTAAAAAACAACAACAACCTTCATTGGCTCATAGAGTTGAATTTTAAAGGGTTAAACAGTAGCATTATTTCTAAATTTTATTGTGTGTATTTTGTAGCGACATGGTTTTGAGGAAGAAACTGTATTTTTGTGCTAATGCTGGCTGGAAAAGCTGCTGGTTTGTGGAGGTGATCTGAAGGTTTTGGGCTCTGTCTCGTGATTTCCAGTTGGCTTCTTTGCAGGGACTCGGCGAGCGTCTCTCTCCCCTGAGAAACATCACGCGGACGGGACGGCAGTGTGATGTGTGTCCTTTCTCTGAGAAACACACCATTAAAGGGGTCTCTTCAGCGACCTCAGACAATCGGTGTGTGTGTGTTCAGGAGAAATATTACACCTCTGAGTGGACAGAATGTGGCCAGAGATCTCATAAAAGACAGGAACATTCACACATCCACACTCCTGCTTCAAAGCGCACGTACAAGACACTTTCTGAGTACATTAGTGCCAAGGTGATTATAGTTAACTAAAGTTAAAACCATAAAAATTACTTGAAATAAAATAAACTTTAACTGATATAAAATAAAATTCAGCTTGTTGCCAAGGCAACATTTCTCATTTTCATTTAGTTTAACTTAATGTCCTAAAATAACTAAAACTGTGGGGAAAAAAACTGACAAAATGATAAAAAAGGCAAAAAAATACTAAAACTTTAACTAAAATTAAAATGAACTATAAAAAGAAGTAATTCAAAATATAAAACTATAATAATCTCAATAATACTAAAATAACACTGATTAAACCACAAATAAAACAACACTTATTTTTGTTTTTTTTATTTTTCTCTTTTTTAGTAGTTTTTAGTGTCATTAATATACGATTATAGTTTTATTAATATTCTGAATTAATTTTATTTGTAATTTTGTGTTTTTGTCATTTTTATTCTTTTTTTTAATATGCCTATATAGTTTTTAAATTATTTTTTATTTCAATTTTAGTCAATTAAAATGCATAGTTTTTAATAAAAGCTACAATTTTGATCATTTTTAATGATGCTAGTTTTCATTTGTCAAATAAAATTTATTTTAGGTCAATTCATTTTTATTTCAAGCAACAAAAATGTTTTAAAAGTTTTAATTTTAGTACCAATGAACTATAATCACCCTGCTTTTAAATGTATTAGAAATGTTAGTCAAGGTTTCTTGCACTAAAAGCATTTTTATTATTCAATTTCCACCTGTTTTTGCAACTGTTCTTTTAAGACGTCTAGATATAAATGGCCAGTTTTTATTTGGCTCATTCATCATGCAGCATACTAAATATGCCTTGATATGTAAATGCTTGCTGTCATATATTCAAATCAACATGAAGTGGCATTTGTAGCACAATTTGCTTCCATAATTTCCAAATGAAAAGGGATGTTTAACCAAAAAGTAGGTGGAACCTAATTTTCCATCCATCTGCAATTGACTTGAATGTGCTCATGGTTGGGAAAGTGACATTAAAGCAAGCCTAAATAGTACATCGAACACTTCAGTTTCCAAAAATACAAGGAGAATTCGATTTTTCACGGTATGACGAAAAATTGAAACACACATCCATTTAACCTGCGGTCGTCTCGCAGTGGCATGCCATAATAGTTTGGCCTGTGCGATCGAGTCTTTGATTTGATTTCTGCGGTGGCAGATGTGAGAGAGAAACCAGCTGGAAGAGCACTTTACTTCAACACGCACTCGATCGATAGCGTCTGCCGCACTCGGGGGGTTATGATCGGCGGGAGTGAAGACTGTCGGGAAAAGACTTTTATTCACTCTAGGTGGGACATGCAGCGAGACAGGCCCCAAATATCACAGCGAGCCCGATAGAGGCTCTGAATCCTATCTCCTGTAGTCTTTAAACTCGCTGCATTTCTCCACACAGTGACTGCAGCATAAAGAACACTAGATGTGCATTTCCAAACGGCAATAGCAATGCTTTCTAAGCAGTGTAAGATGCAGTTTTTGGTCAAAATATCTAGAAAAGGAAAAGTAAAGCCAATGAATTGTTTCAATATTCTCATCAAGCTACATGATTTGAGAAGCCATTCATGTCTGTAATGCCAACAGTACAGGATGAATTATGCAATTACGTGTTTAATATTTAGTGTTAGTTATTGGAAGAGACCCGTAACACTAAGTGTACTAAAATAAGTAAAACTAAAACAGAAATAAAAATTAATAAAAATGATAAAAACGGACAAAAACCTACAGCTTTAAAATTAAAATTAAAACTAATAAAACTAAATGAAAATATTAAAAACTATAACTATATATAATATCTCAATTATACTAAAATAACACTGATTCGTACTCTATTTATTTATTTATTTATTTACATCTAAAGTATTTTAGTATCATTACTAAAGCCTACTATTGTAGATGTGTTAAACAATTTTATTATTTGTAATTTTGTTGTTTTTATCATTTTTATTATTAATTTTTTAAGTGTGTGTGTGTGTGTGTGTATATAATATATAATTTTTGTTAATTTCAGTTTGAATTACAAATTTTAGTTTTTAATAAAAGCTATACTTAATTTGATCATTTTTAATAAGGTTTCTTTTAGTTATAGTAAAATAAAATGTCAATTTAAATATTTGAATTTCAAAAAATAATATTTAAAATAAAAACTATATTTTATTTTAGATTTATTGTATTTCAGCTTAAAGAACACTAGATATGCAATAGCAGGGCTTTCAAAGCAGCATGAGTTATAGCTTTTGCTCAAATTATCGAGAAAAGGAAAAGAAAACCAAAGGAATTGTTTCAGAATTTGCCTTCTCAACAAGTTGCATGATTTGAGGGCTCATGCCTTTTACACCAACAGTACAGAATTAATTATGCAATAGTCTTTAATATTTAGTGTCGATTATTGGAACAGACCCTTAACACTAAGTGTAAGCAATATTATTAGAAACTAAAAAGAAAATGTGAAGTAATTCAATATAGTAATACAGCAATATAGTTCCATCCTGCACAGTAAACATTTTTTGAAGTAAATAAAACATTGGAATAGGATTTACATTTACTTCTACTTTAAAGTTTCACGTTTAATTCTATGTTACTTGCTCTTTCTTAGTAAATTTCACAATTAATTCCAAGCAATTTCTCAGTGAAAGTTGTTTGTTCATCAAATTATTTATATTCAGTCTATCATAAAATGACAATGATATCGTATCACTGTTTCGAATGCCTCTTTTATGCACTTCCTCTTGGTTAGTAGCTCGTTTTCTGCGTTCTCTCCTCTCAGCGATGAAGAAGAGTTGCGTAAGTCGTTCTCGGAGCTGGGTGAGCAGCGAGGAGAGTCTAACTCCAGAGAAGTGAAGCAGACGGCCTGCGGCTTCGTTCCTCCGTCCGGAGCGCTGCTCTACAAAACCGGTTTTCTGGTGAGGAAGGTCCACGCAGACTGTGACGGGAAGAGAAGTGAGTGTTAAAGAAGACATCTTACATTTACTTCTACTTTAAAGTTTCACGTTTAATTCTATGTGTTACTTGCTCTTTCTTAGTAAATTTCACAATTCATTCCAAGCAATTTCTCAGTGAAAGTTGTTTGTTCATCAAATTATTTATATTCAGTCTATCATAAAATGACAATGATATCGTATCACTGTTTCGAATGCCTCTTTTATGCACTTCCTCTTGGTTAGTAGCTCGTTTTCTGCGTTCTCTCCTCTCAGCGATGAAGAAGAGTTGCGTAAGTCGTTCTCGGAGCTGGGTGAGCAGCGAGGAGAGTCTAACTCCAGAGAAGTGAAGCAGACGGCCTGCGGCTTCGTTCCTCCGTCCGGAGCGCTGCTCTACAAAACCGGTTTTCTGGTGAGGAAGGTCCATGCAGACTGTGACGGGAAGAGAAGTGAGTGTTAAAGAAGACATCCCTCAACACAGCAGTTTGGACTTTTTATTTCCACATATTCATAATCATATATCAAATGTAGAAATTCATATTTAGGACATTAGCAGAACTACTTTTTTTTGTCTTTTAAGGAAGTGTCATTTACTTCTGATGATATTTTTTTTCCCCATTTTAGTTTATAATAATCTATGTCCAGTATATCTGACATTTGGACCCTTGCACATGAAATCTGATTTTGATATTTGTGACCCTGGACCACAAAACCAGTCATAAGGCTCAATTTTTTCGAAATTGAGATTTATACATCAGCCGGAAGCTGAATAAATAATCTTTCCATTGATGTATGGTTTGTTAGGATCGGACAATATTTGGTCGAGATACAACTATTTGAAAATCTGGAATCTAAAGGTGCAAAAAAATCTAAATATTGAGAAAATCGCCTTTAAAGATGTCCAAATGAAGTTCTTAGCAATGCATATTAATAATCAAAAATTAAGTTTTGATATATTTACGGTAGGAAATTTACAGAATATCTCCATTGAACATGATCTTTACTTAATATCCTAATGATTTTTGGCATAAAAGAGAAATGGATAATTTTGACCCATACAATGTATTGTTGGCTATTGCTACAAATATACCCCAGCGACTTAAAAGTGCAATGTGTAATATTTACATCGATCTATTGACAGAAATGCAATATAATATACATAACTATGTTTTCAGAGGTGTATAAAGACCTTACGTAATGAACCGTTATGTTTTTATTACCTTAGATTGAGCAATTTATATCTACATACACCGCGGGTCCCCTTACATGGAAGTCGCCACCATGTTTCTACAGTAGCCCTAAACAGACAAACTGCTCTACACAGCGCGTTTCCTCACTTTGTTGTTCTTGCGAATAAAACACTGACACAATGATGAACAAGTACATTAATATTCGCAATAACATCGATTTATTAAATGATTAAGTAAATATAATTCCTTAATTTACCTTTGTAAGGAAATCTCATTGCTCTCTGCTGTCTTTACCGACAACATCTTAGCCCAGTATCGGCCACCGTAGCTTCT